GCTTATCTAAATCTCTCGGGCTCATCGAAGGGTATGGTGGGCGGGGCAAAGGGGGCCTTCCAGCCACCCTTTCCCCCTCTGAAGAAGAAAAAGCCAAAGGACCTCATGAGAAGTATGGCTACAATTCCTACCTCAGTGAAAAGATCTCCTTGGACCGGTCTATTCCAGATTATCGTCCTACCAAGTAAGCTACAGCTGTGCCCCAGGAAGGAGCTGGCTGGCTTTGACTCAATGTGTGATACTTTCTCCTCTGTTTGTAACTACCTAGGGATTTTATTTCCCTCTGTCTCTTCTATAATCAGTTAATCAAGGACTTTTGTTGCTTAGGAAATAGTAGCTAAATTAACAATAAAGTTAAGAACCATGGATGTAGTTTAATTGATAGTGTGCTTCCTTAGTGTGGGTTCTGGTATGAAGTCCTTGGTTCCATCCCTAACACCACAGGCATGGTGGCACACTCCTAATTCCAGCACTGGAGAAATGGAGGCAGGGGTATCTGGAGCTCAAGACTAAGGTGCTTAGCCAACGTGGGCTAGGCAGTTAATTTGAGACTAGACATGATACCATCTTGGAAAATAAAAGGTAAAAATGTTATAAAGGCATAAAACAAAAACAAATACAAAAAATGTATAGAAAGAGTCTTAATATAAAATGTTTTAAGTTTAAAAAAATCACCATAGTAGCTTAGCTTAAACATGGCAATTGTTGAAGTTGTAATGTCTGTTATCTTTTATCTATCTATCTATCTATCTATCTATCTATCTATCTATCTATCTATCTATCTCTGTCATCTCCCTGTCTATCATCAATCTGTTGAACTTTTTTATCTGTTTATTGATTGTGGATATGATGTTGTATGTAGCTCAGGCTTGCTCAAACTTGCTATGTAGCCAAAACTGACCTCATACGCATGATCAGTCCTCCTGCCTTAGCCCCCTAGACGTTGGAATTACAGACATGAGCCTCGATGGCTAGCATATTGATAATATTATATGCTATCATGTGCCAATATATGACAAGATTAAAATATTATCTTTGAGTCTATTTACTATAGATTATGAGTAATTGATGAGTAATTGTCTTTTTGATTTGATATTTGTGTTCCTGTGTGTATACATATGTGTAGTGGGGTATACAGACAAGTATATATATGTACATGTGGAAGACAGAGGTAGAGGTCAGATGCCTTTTTAAAAAAGATTTATTTTATGTATATGAGTACACTGTAGCTGTCTTCAGACACCAGAAGAGGGCATCGGATCCCATTACAGATGGTTGTGAGCCACCATGTGGTTGCTGGGAGTTGAACTCAGGACGTCTGGAAGAGTAGTCAGTGCTTTTAACTACTAAGCCATCTCTACAGCCCCAGGGTCAGTTATCTTATTCTCTCTCTCTCTCTCTCTCTCTCTCTCTCTCTCTCTCTCTCTCTCTCTCTCTCTCTCTCTCCTCACCATAATTTTCAAGACAGGGTCTCTTACTGAACATAAAACTCACTAATTCAGTTAGGCTTGCTGGCTGCCTAGTGAGCCCTAGGGAATCCTCCTGCCTCTGCCTTCCCAGAGCTGGGGTTCCAAGGGCACGCTGCCATGCCTGGCACTTTCATAGGTGCTGGGGATCGAACTCAGTTCTTCATACTTTTACAGTAAGCACTTTTTACCCCCTGAGCCACCTCTCCAGCCCCACAGTCACTTACGATGACTCGCTATGTCTACAGGCTGTTTCTGATGCTGTACTGTTGTGTGTGATGCTCAGCAATCTTTTCTCATTCCTGTCTATGCGTTGGTTAGATGCTTACTTTCAAGCTTCGAATCCATAGGAAAAATGTTGGAGACTCTAGATACGTATTCTCTTTCAAAGAATTTTGACAATTCCTTTTTTGTTGTTATTCAGTCATTTATTATTATTATTGAAAATTTCATACATATATACAATGAAATATGGCCATATCTACCCCACTCACATTTCCAGCCTCAAACTCCCCATGTACCTCTCTCTACATGTCCCCAATGTCATGCCTTCTGCTTATCAGCATGTGGGTGTGGGGACATCCACTGGTGCACAGGTAACTTATCAGTCCATGTACCCAAAGCAAAATGACCCACCCACCCTTCGCAGCCATCAAATGCCAACAGCTCCTTCACCAAGGGTGGAGCTTGGCACCCCTCCCCCACCCAATCTGGAGCTTCCAGCGTTCCTATTTACTATGTAGGAGCTCACTCTGGTTTCTCCAAATCTCCATTTTCTTTGGATTTTCAGTGCCTCCTTTTTATTTCCATTTAGAATGTGCCCTCGCTTGCAGTAGATTATTTCTTTTTTTTTCAAATGGGTTTTGTGCAAATCAGTTAAGTATCCTGGTTACTGAGAAAAATAAATTCAAGATAAAGAAAATTATCTTAAATGGATTTAAAATTACAGCATTAGCCGAGAAACCCGTTAAATCTCGCTCTCTGCCTCTAATAAGTGCACATTCATTTTGAATCACTAGGAAAAATATACATCACCCCCCGTTGCATGCTATTTTCTCTTCCTGGACTCGTGACTCGTGTTCTCAAAAAAAAAAAAAAAACCCACATCTGGCGGTTGTCACTTCCTGGTGCTTTCTGATTAGTCTTTCTTATTTCCATGTTGGCAAATAAACATGGCCCCGTTTTTTGCTCTCTTATGAGACTGGAAAGGCCTCCAACATGCAGTGTATTGGAAATGGCTTGGCTGAACAGAAATCAGTGAGCCTCTGTGATGCACCCAGAGATTGGCCGCACCATGGAGATATAATAATGCAAGGAGTGCAGCCTAGTCTACCCACGTCTTGTCGGGGAGAGAAACAGACAGGCAAGGAGGTCCTCCCAGTATAAGGTGACCTAGGTGGTGTGAGACCCTGTTGTACAAATATTCCTAGGGGGATCTCTCAAGATAGGGAGACTTTTGTTCTTGTGACAAAATATCTAATAAGAAGACACTTAAAGAGGAAGGGATTTGTTTTGGCTCACAGTTTAAAGGCAGAGTCCGGCATGGTGGGGAAGGCGTGGTAGCAGGGGTGTGAGGTAGCTGCTTATACTGCATCTGCAATCGGGAAGGAGAGAGAGGGAGGGGTAAGGGGGCTCTTGATTCCCAACTCACTTCTCTCCCTTTTATTCAGTATGGAAACCCAGTTTATGGGATAGTGCTACCTATCTTCAGGGTGTATCTTTCCACCCCAGTTACCTCTATCTAGAAACTCCTTCATAGAACATGTCCTGAGGACTGTGATTTTTGGTTTTTGCATAATCATTTGGAATGTCATCAAGATGGCAATTGAGATTAGTGATCCCAGTGTCAGGCCATCAGAATGAATCCACCCAGTTCTTGGTGCACAATGAGTTTACTTAAAGTTACTGACAGGAGCACAGGCTATCTCCAGTGGCTACACTACTAAAGGACATGCCTCCCTTCCCCAGCAACCATTTACTGACATATCCACAGGCAGCGCCTAGTGAACTTCTGCCCCCACCACCCCCCCATGATGAAACATTAGCACCAATCTCTTGCAGAGAGTCTCAGCTGCTGAGAATTCAAGAGAGCAACAGCCCCATTATTCCTGGGGAACAGTGATCCACAGCAGCCATGGCAACTGCACACACAAGGAGCAAAGGGAGTGTCTGAGCATCTCTTGCTTGACTTGATATCCCAAAACTTGAAGGATAACATAGGATGAAGCATCTGAAGAGGAGTGGGGGCAGGGGCGGGGATAAAAAAATGGGTCAGACCAGAGGAACAGAAAGCAATAGGTGTGGTTCTCTGCAGTAGAAAGTCTCAGTATCGTCGTGGTACAGCAAGGTGGAGTAAGCCCACATTTACTTCTGGTTCCTTCTGAAGCTGCTATTATGATGGAAAAGGGACACAGAGCATGGAAAGGAAAAACTAAAGAAGATAGTTGGTGACATCATCCAACACCTACAGGACTTTGGAAGATGGAAAGGGAATGGATGAGCGGTAATTGGTGGCCAGCTAGAGAAACTGAGACCTAACCTCCTATGTGAGATGGGTAGAGAGATGTTTGATTTAGTTTTAATTCCTTTAGTCTTATAAAAAGCAACTTTGAGGAGGAAGGATTTGTTTGGCTTATAATTGCAAAGCACCATCCATCATTTCAGAGAATTTAAGGTGAGGGACCCAAGCAGCTAGTCACAGCATATCTATCGTTGACAACGAAGAGAAATTACATTCTAACTTGTCCGCTTGCTGGTGCTTCTCAGTGACTTTTATACAACCAGGGCCCAGCCCATAAGATACTATCACCCACATTCAGGATGGGTCTTCTCACTTCAGTTAACAATCAAAACAATCTGCCACAGACATGCCCATGGACCAATCTGATCTAAGCAGTCCCTCAATTGAGATTTTTTTTCCTAAGGTGATTCTCCTTTGCCAAGTCAATAGTTTAACTAGATTTGTTAGAGCAGAAGAATACAACTTGGTCAGAACCCTGGGGACTCACTGTCACATTAGCTTTCCAGGGGAGACAAGAATAAACGTCTACTCATCACAGGTAGGACTATGACATCAGACCAAAGTAATGGTTCCATTGAAGTCCAATTTGGTCAGCTGGTTAGTTTATTGGGCTTCCTTAGAGAGCACAGGTGGCAGGCTACTTACAGGAGCATGAATGACCCCAGAGCTGCAGTACCACAGAAAATCCACTCCATAGTAGATGACTACCTCATGGATGATGCATCATGGTGACCTGCCTTCAGTTAGTTAATCTAACACTTCTAGATGGTCTAGCATTTCCCAAGATCCATTGCAGCTAGTGGTGAGGCAGAAAGAGTAATGGGTAGGATCCCAGGTGACGGACCTAAGAGCCTCCACTATCTCCTTCTGTTATGGAGGGGAGTTAACTCCATTACTGTTACCACAGACCTAGCTGCCTATCATCTATCATTGTGGTATTTTGTTCAAGCTGTTGTCATGGCTACCAGGCCAAGTAGAATCTATATTCCCAAATGAAGTCAGGATGGTCATATGATGCCCAAAGGAAAAGTCATATCCCAATACCCAGAACCTGAACAGGACAGGACAAGACAGGAGAGATCTTTCTTATGGCTGGATATGCATAGGAATGGAAGGACTATTTCTGTTAGTTTCTTTTCTGTTGCTGTAATGAACCATTTGGATGAAAACCAACTGGGGAGGAAAGAGTTTATCCCA